AAAGAGTCAAACCTGTGTGAGCCTGTGTTTTTTCCCTTTTTTTCTTTTATAAGTCACGAAAAGGTAATAGTCACATAGAGCTTAGCAGCGAGCAGGCCTAGAAATGAATGGTGCATGATCAGTGGAAATCTGAGTATCCCAACTTTGTAGTGGTATAAGGTATGTGTTTCTTTGCCCTGATCATTTGCAGCCTATCAGAACATAACATGTTTTACGCTGCTCCCATGATGTAATGATCTAGAAATGGGCCTGGGACCCAGGCACTTTTCATACCTGAGAAACATACTCTAGTCAGAGCATACAGATGCTGCCTCACTTTGCAGAAATACATCTCATTGGCTGTACTTCTTAATATTATCACCTCTGGAATACTTCAAAATCTGTTTGCACTTTCACAGTCTGCCTTAATGACCTGCTCTGCTTTTGTTCTTTAGGACTTGATTGAACTCTTGTTGAAGTTAGTAGAAAGATTCCCACTAACTTCAGAGAGAGTTGATTCCTCTCCTCCTGTCCTGTCCTGTCCTGTCCTCTCCTCCCCTCTCCAATTGTACATGACTGCCTCCTTCCCTTCACTCCTGTCTTGAAAGTCCAGTGTATCACCAGTAGCTGCACAGTTGCTTCCTCATTGCCTTTTATTTGCAGAGGTGCTGTGGAGGAACAAGTCCACAAACCCACTACTCACTCTTTTAAGATCTGCTCCTATTGGAATGTCTTCAAGGAATCAACAAGTGAATGATGGCCAGTGTGAGCAATGATTTTGGGGTGGCTGCTATATAGAAATTAAAGAGGAACCTTTCCGAGCCATCAGTTTCCTGTGTAGTGAATCAATGCCACTGTGATCCGTTGTCGTTATCCTTGCCCTTCCTCACTACGTGCTCACTCACTCGCTTGCTGTGCCTCATTGACAATGAGACTGTGAACTTACGACTACAGCAAGGATGTCCTCTTGCTTCTACTTATTCTTGTCTAGCTCAGCTGGAGAATTCCTCAACATAAAAGAAGTCAGTAAGAACATCCCTGGATGTACTCAATGTATGATTCATTGTACGTGCTGTTACGTGTTGGGGCTGGTATAGATGATTTTGTGATAACTCCTGGAGATTTTCTGCAGCTGGTATGTTTGTTTCATGGGGATGTGGGAGGGATTCTGAGACTGGAAAGTGCAGTTTCTGGGATTGATTCCTGAGGACGGGAAGAATCCTGAAGGCTTTCTGTTGTGCAGGGGACACAGTTTCTGTGTTGTCCCTGTGAGTAGTCTGGGAACAACTCTGCAAGCTGGAGGTGAAGCAAACTACTCCAGAGGCTCTTTGGAAGATTGGGAGTGGTCACATTGTTCTTCAAGTGAGTGTAACTGCATGCAGATGCTCAAATCAAATTGGGAGGATATGCTGTTCATGAGGATGGCTTCCAAGCCCTCTTTAGGAAGTAGCAGGTGTTTCCTTCTTCTTGACTGAACTGCTGTGCTAAAGAAGCTTCCAGTGTAACCTGAGGAATGGATAGGAGATGACGAAGAGCTGTCTATCATGTAATACTGATCACATACCTCATTTCAGCTGCCAATAGTGAAGAGGGTCTGAGTTAATGACTACTATTGTGGTATCTTGGCATATCACTTAAATTTTTCAATAAAATTAACCTTGCCTATGTGTTATCTGAGAGAAATGAAACCACAGCAGTTTTGGAATATCTACATATATTGCCATCGGGAAATATTCTTTTTTTGTGGTAGTTTAAATAACAGTTTCCCAGGGGAGTACAACCCCTGCCTTGTACTAGTGTTCACCAGGGATGGTTATTTGTTGGTGGAAGAGTCTCTTCATTTGTATACATCCAGAAGGAAAAGAGAGAGAGTTACTGATTTTTGCATCCTCTTTGCTACCGTGTTTGTGACCCCATCAAGGTATTGTAGGGTGCCAACTGGCATTTCTACGAGCAAGGTCTTGTGAGACCCACTGAATGTAGGTTGCTTGGGTTGCTGCTCTCCACTCATCCTGGCCATGTCTGGTTACGTACTAGAGATAGTGAGGCATGCAGATCGCTGATGGCTCAATACCCTGAGCAGGATTCATTCAGATAATGCAGATCTTCCCAACTGCTGGCAACAGAGCTCATTCTGTCCGCTCTTCACAACACCAAGGTGAAGGGACACACTGGAAATTCCAACTATGCAGCGTCTTTTTGAGATGTAATTCATTGTCCTTTGCAACAAATCCTGTAGAGAGGACAGTGCCAGGTCTTGGCAACTTGTCTGACAAAGTGCATAATCTCAGAGATGTTTCATATTCAATGTAGCTCTTCACAACTGTTTGTGGAAAGTATGTAGTCATAGTTTTGGAAGGTGTTCATTTTGCAAGTGCTTCTGCCAGCATCTCTTCTCCTTACCCTGTCAGCCATAGCATTTATGTAACTGTTTTTCTACTCATTATTTCATATACCAGCCATCATGTACTGGCTCAGTGAAATGGGTGCGTGAAATGGAGCTTTTGCCCTCAAAGTGCTGCACAGATATGTCACCGCCACCTTTTTCCCTGTTCGCTCCCCATGGCCATGGATGAGGTCGTTCTGCATCAGGCGAGTGACAGCTATTAAATCTCTGAAAGCTAAACCAGTCACAAAGGAGACACCTCAGGAGACACCGCCTTCCTACCGGTGCTGAGGTCAGAGACATCACACTAAGATGGCTGCAGTGCTCTTTGCGCTACAGTCTTGCAGGGCTGCCTGTTGATAGATTTCACTGGCACTGTGGAAATCGTTGGAGTTACAAACTTCTGCTCTGTCATAGATCCAGGGCTTGGTTCTGGTTTTCCTAGATGAGTTGCCTCTTTTGTGGCTGTAATGATGTATTAACATAATGTCCCCAGTGTTATGGGATCAGCCTAAAACCAGTAGTGGATAGGAAGTCAAGGACCAGCTTTGAACTCAGCTTGTCCCCACAAGACGACTGCTTAGCAGGGCCTGTGGGAAGGTGTTGGCGATTGCTGCTCAAGGTGTACTAAGTGTGGAAGCACAGGGTCACCTGTCATGTTTCTGCAAATCCAGAAGTGACCTTAACCTCAGGTGAGGAGGCTTAGCTAGCATCCATTTCAAACAGGTGAGCAAGGCTTTGGACAAAGGCACTCTTGCCATTCCCTGGGTGTGATCTGGTGCTCAGGCTCCAGGTAGAAAACATCTCCATGTGACTCAGCAAGTGCTGCTGAAGCGACTGACGCAGCTTTACAGTCTGCCTCCCTGCCTTTTCCATCCCCATGTCCTGTACCTTGACTGATTTGTTATCTCCCAGGGAAATATTGGATGGACCCCCCTGCCTCTGGTGAAGTGACTCTCATTCAGACTCCTCTCAGTATCTCCACAGGATTGCCCTGAGATGGGGGAAAAAAAGTTCAACAGGGCAATTGCCTTCCAAACAGCAAGTCCTGACTTACCTCCTACTAGATAATCTCTACTTTAACTAAGCCCCTTGACAGTCGATTCTCCTCCATAAAGTGTTTTGTAGACAGCTGCTTCTGACCTGGGGTTTGCTGGCTGCCCACTGGGGAACAGAGCATTAGTGCAGCATTAGAAATACACCCTTCCTTTTCCTTTCTGAGCTTCAGCTGCTGAGCTTGACCCACGTTGCTCCCAGACTCTGCTCTTCTATCTATCATGGGAGAAAGGGAAGCTCTGTGAAGTGAAATAAATATATAGGTGCTGCTTTACAACTTTAGCCAGCCATAGTGAGGACCAGGGATACAAGACCTGCAATCTTGGCACGATTTTGACAGAGTGAGGCAGAATCACTCCCCTTATCCCAACAGCTGAGCAAAGATCCTAACAGAAGACTGCTCCTTAGGTTGTGTATCACCTTAGACGTTAGCAGTTCCATCGTATAGGAATGGTAATGGGTGGAAGGGCAGTCTGAGGAAGGAGTATGAGAGACAGGACATGATCATATTTACTGATGTGCTCCATTTATTGTGTTGTTCACTGTACTAAATTTTTTTTTAACATGGAGCTATGGCAACATGGCAAGTGAGACGGAAAGAACTTCTGGTTTGCCTTTTCCCCGTATGAAAAGTTCTTGCAAAAAGATTTGCAAAATTTAGTTAAAGCCAGTGTCTTTTCACAAAATACTTGTGATTGTGGAGAAATTCCTCATGGAACATTTTCTTTGTCAGAAACATTTCACTTGCTGTTGTTGGCATGAACTTGTGCCACTCTTGTGCAGTTATTTTTGCAGGAAAATGGAATCAGTTTTCCCAGTAGGGATTCTGCCAGCATAAACCGACTTGCTAGTATGCTAGGGGTTGTATAAAATGAATCGCTAAAATAACAACTGTGAGTCTGAACACTTGAGGCAGTAGTAGAACTGTGTTTAGCCCACGCTCTTGTCAGCATTGGAGTAGCGTCTTGCAGAGGGGTGCCCTTCACCCAGACCTGCCTCACAAGGTGCTCATGGTGCCATGCGGAGGAGCAGGCTTCCAGCGTTCCTGCTGGTTTTGATGGAGTTGAGGTTGCTCAAGAGCTGGGAGAGCTCAGAACTTCAAGCCATGTGTGGTTAGCACCAGCTGGAGGACTGTCTCACACTTCCAGAGCAGAGAAAATGAGAATCAGACCCTAACTGATTTTCTTACTTTGAAACAAATGTCATAAAATGTAACTATTTCCTCTTAAATGTCTCCAATATACATGTGGCAACACTGGAAGTTTCAGAGCAGTGTTATTTTCTGAGGCATCCAGACAAAACCTGACCATGGAAAAACACTTTGAAGATTAAAAAAAATTCCCTTTAATCTCAAATACAACTGTATATATATTTTAGATTGAATTTTAAGAGGTGAACTAAAACCATCAAAGATAGATTTCTTCCCAAATGAAATCTTTGTTGTTGTTTAGAAAGTCATGAATGGTTTAATATAGAGTTTAACGCTGAATTACTACCTTTTCCCTAACTATAATACTTTTAACAGGAAACTAATAAATGTGTTTGTGGTAAGTAAGTGGAGAAATTGCCCAGGTGTATAGAAATTTTCAGTGCTGTAATCACCAAAAGAAAGAATTTCTTTTATAGGAAGGCATGAGAATCGAGAGCCTCAAACATCAAATCCCAGCAAATTATATAGAACTATGTGAAGCACATGCATCAGGCAGTCCCTTAAAATAACCACCTGCTTGTACGAGCCAGAAAGGCATGAAAGATTCCTGTCCTGTATTTCAGGAGAAGGTCAACACATGAGTGGTCTTACCGAAAAATAATAGCAAGGGGTTATGGTTGGATTTAAACTGACCAAAACAGCAATAATGCCATCGAGCTTTGAAAATATACTGTTCTCCATTAAAGCGATGTGTGTTGGAGGTGTTGCACAGCGGTTACTTGTGAAATAGGTTATTTTGAACTTGTCATATTTGACTGGCAAGTACTCTATTAAAGCATAAGTAATTTCCTCACTTTGGAGATCAAAATTTAACACAAATACTCAAGAGAAAATGTAGGTAGGTTTTTTTATTGCCTCTGATTTTGAAAATTTCCTTTTAATGTATCTATTTACCCAGATATTGATTAATGTGTGCTCATACGCTTTCAGGTATCATTGAGGTGCAGGGATTAGCCAGTTACAAGTAGCTACTTTCAGCTGTGGTGGCATTTAAAGGTTGATTTGCAATAGAAAAGCATGGGCGGAAAGCAGTGCTGTGTCAAGGTGGTAGGATTTTCTGCAGGCGTGAGCAGCCTGCTCCTCACCCCACATGGCAGTACGCCCCTGAGGACCCAGAGAAACTAAAAGTTGTGGTTTCCCTCAGCAGTCTCTCCTAGATGTAGGAGTGGGTGGTTTTGCTGTTGCTCTTAAGAAACCCTCTAGGTTGGTGAGGAACATAGCTGAGATTTAGGGGCAGCAGGCTGTATTCACAGCACCACACTGGGTAAACTACATAGGATGGTAGGGTAGATCCAGATTCAAATTCCTTCTCCCCCTGTTCTACAGCAGATACTTGATCCAAATCTGTTCTAAGAAAGTGCCTTTATCACTCTGCTATAAATTGTTATGATCTTTTATGGTATTTCTACAGTAATGTTTTTTCTTTGTATAAGATTCAGTGATGTACACAGGAACCGGGATTCAAGTCTTCCATTAAGTAGGCTGGAGCAACTGCGTGATTCTGACTTCAGGTCCAGTGAAAAAAAGGATTTAAACAGAGGAGAAACTTCAGTATAGCAGTCTAAGAGAGTTTGCTTAGGACTGAGCTATGTAACCCAGTGTTTAACAGATCCCTGTGGAAGGAAGGACACCCGGTGTTAAAACCTTGTTCCAAATCAGATTGCGTGGCAAAAGCAGCTTAGGTGCTTTGGCAGCATGAACGCCTGGGAAGCCCACAGAGTTGCAGGACTTAATTCTGGTTTTCTCACTTAGTCCCATTTCTGCAGGATAAGTTAGCTCCTAAAGGAAATGTCTGCCTGGGGCTTTATCGCAGATAACTAAATGGATGCAATCAATATTTTAACTAAAACCAGGGGTCTGTAATTTTTTTTCTCAGTTGTTTACATAGAATAATTAAATTGAACTAGTGCAAGTCAGTTAGACAAACCCTAAAAGAGCAATAACAATTGAATTGAACAGGCAACAGCTGAGTTATCCTGGGCTTAATATTTCTAAGAAGTGTATTTTTAAGAGATTTTAATGATGTCAGAACTAGCTAGGTGAGAACAGGACCTTCTTTTTTAATCCTACAGCTTTTTATCTGAATTCGTGTGCATAACGCAACTCCATGAATTTAACGTTAAACATATAATTAGGTGGTTTTAGGTTGGGGTCCTGCTGTTCTTTGTATTTTTTGCGCCTTAAAATGATAGGTATTTGTGTATTTGCTAGAGATATTTTGTCAAGGGAGAAGCATAACTTTAATCTGTAGTCCTAGTCATCTATTATTTCCTCAGAAATGACTTTTTTATAAGAAAGGCTGAAACAAATCAATTTCTTTAGCAGATCGAGGTACTAGATAGTATGTGTGAATTGCTAAGACCATATTGTTAACTTTTTTCCCCATTCGTTACTTTCAGGGAATTCAAGCACACCAAACAATTCCCTGAATGGAATTACATTTAAAACGAATTTTATGTATTTCTTTTCTATTTTTAAAAATGCATGAGAAGACTGTTCCTTTCTTCAGGTGTACAAACTAATTTTATTATAGCAGAAAAAAAATGTTGCTGAAGTTCTAGTGAGTTCTGGTTCATGATCAGTTTTGTCAGAATAATTTACTAGACTGAAGGCTTCTTAAGAGACATTGAAGCCTGAGGCTTCATTCCATGATGACTCTTTTTGTAGTGAAAGAAGCGTGTGTTGTGAGTTCAGGGTATTTTTGTTGTTGAAACCCCTGTTCCTGCAAATAGTTGCAGACTGCCTGACTGTTCAAATACTGGAATAAATTTATACTTTCAGCCCCAAAGTGATTACTTAAAAAAGAGGGAAAAGAGGAAGAACAGGTTTAGTTGATGTAAGGTTAATTGGCCTAGCTCTAAACAGGAGCCTCTCAGTGGTTAGTAGCTAGAAGCTGTACAACTGGAAATACTTTAATTTAAAAATCCAATATAAAATCTTCATTGACTACATGCAGAAACACTTAAGAATTAATTTTTTTTTGTAATCACAGGTTTAGTCATCTCTCTATAGCACATCCATTGAATATTTGGTGTTATGGTTGTAGAAAGCTATTTTAGCATGGCCAGAAACCAAACCTAAATTACCAGACTTAAAATGGGCATCTCTCATATAAACACTATTTGCCAGAAAAAAAACACCCTTGGAATTCTGTGTGGGTAAAATGTCCCATAGGAATGTCAGCTGGTGTCTCTCTACATCAGAACCGGTAAAGGAAATTATTAATCAAACAAAATTTTTTTGTTAGTCTTTGAATTAATTTTACTGCCTTCACAGATATTTAAAGAAGGAGAGAGTTTAACAGATATGTGTTTAGCATTTTTAAATTTAAAACCAAGTCCCCTTCCCATCTTGTTCTTTGTTTCCAGAACACCACAGAATTCCTGCTTTGGAAGAGGCAAGTTGGTTGCTGGGGAACATCAACCAGACTGGCTACTTTAGAGTTAATTATGATATTAGGAATTGGAGGCTGCTAATTAATCAGCTAACAAGGAACCATGAGGTAAGCTCCTCTTCTCATCCCTGAAATCTGCTTTGATACATGAACCTTCACTGTTTCATCACTCTAAATGGCTCAATTTTTGTGCTTGCCCCTCACAGGTTATCTCTGTCAGTAATCGAGCAGGCTTGATCGATGATGCATTCAATCTAGCCAGGTATGTTTTCCTGAAGATAATCTATCCTAATACACATTGCTGCAATAACTCATGCAATCATTAACTCAGCAGTTGAGTGTGTTTCGAAGTTAAATATGTTTTAAACACACTTTAGTTCTTTTCCCCTCTCTCTTTTTTTTTTTTTTTTTTTTTTTAATATGGTACATAAACATGGTCTGTAGCACATTCACTGCTCTTGATCGATAATTGCCGTAGGGTATTTCCGAGTCTGGAGAGGTCTGATCAATTTTGCAGTAAGTTCAATTTAACATGTTGGAGATAAATAATCTCTTTCTCTAATGAATGAGATTTTTTCTTCTGTTTCTCCCTAATGCCTCGCCTCTCCTTTTTTTTTTATAACTGACCCTTGTTCTGTATTTAATTTGTGATGGAGGGCACCTTCAAGCTTCAGGAATTTTTTTTGCCCTGACTTGTGCTGTTGTATCGTTTTTCCAATATCTTTCTTTTCTTGTAATCTGCTAGAACAGACTCTTTTTCTGCATGATGCTTTTCACGCAGAATGAAAAATCAAAGTTCTGTTGAGCATTTCTGGAATTTGTACAACATTTTGTGTTTTACACAACTCTGTGATCAGTTAATAACACATATAGTGCTGTTTAGGTAATGCCTTCTTTACAAATTGAGGCAATGGAATTGTCACCATTTTGAAATCAGGACATCCAATATGTTGGTAGTGAAAGTGTAAAATGAGAGGAAAGTAGTGCAACGTTTCAAACTTTTTGATTCTTGAGGTGCCTGGGAACATTGCATCAGTAAAACACTGTGATGTCAAAGGCAGCGTGAAAAGAATTCCTGATGCTACTGGCTTTTCTGTTCGCTAGCGTATTTATAGCCATATTTGAGCAGGGGCTTGCAAGAATCGGCAGTACTGAGGTACATTTCACTACAAACGGTCACTGGAGATGTTTGAGATTCAGGCACAGTGTCACGCAGAAATTATGGCTCAGTGATGTTCCAGCATCACTGCAGTAAAACACAGTTGTGTGCCCTACCACTCTGTTCCTGCTGCCACTGCTAGACTGAATATATGACATAAACTAGTGATTAGCCCTTACTTAACAGTCCAGAGATGTAGTGGGGAAGGAGGCATCATGGGGAGAGAAGGAGTATCTGTTTGCTTTTTGCAGTGCCCTTCATTCTTGCCTTGTGGCATCTTCCCATTGGCACTAGAAATAGGTCATCCCTTCAGACTTCAGTGGACCGTGATCTGTGTACTCTCTGGCTACTACAATATTGCAGAGTATTCTGAAATATCTAGACTGGCACTTTCTTCTTTTTCCATGCACTGAAGGCAGTCAGAGGTGGCTAGCCTTCCCTGAAAATCTAGACTCTGAAAAAAGCTGTTTCTTAAGCCAATTCTTGTAGGTGAGTATTTTTCTTCTGAGTCAGTACTGAGCCAGTGCTCTAGGATGTCTTGTTTATGAAGCATAAAGGCAAGGTCTTGAATAAAGGCCCAACCTGCATCATCTGGCCAAGTTTTGTCTACCTAAAACCAACTCAGATTAGATGAGTAATGCATTCCCCTCTTGCTTTCCAAAGCTGTTTTATGGTAATACTGGATCCTGCTGATTTTTCAGAGGTAACTACACCAGAGTGCTGTGAAGTCTTTAGCAAGACTTCACACTGTAAAAACTTTACTTTCTTTTGTTAACGATGAGCTGCAGTGGACTGCTGCTGCGTTTGCTACTCATGCACCGTGGAAAAAAGTAGTTGAGCTAAGTATTTACAGTGTGTACACATGCGCATACATAGATATTACTTATGAGGAAATATTCCTCCAGCAGGGATCCTGTGGTGGTTTGACCTTGGCTGGATGCCAGGTGCCACTAAGCCACTCTATGTTTCCCTCTTCAGCAG